GCGCGGTTCGAATCCACCAGATGCTCTGCCAGGGAAGGAGGGACAATCTCCTCCTGTACCAGTCAGATCTGATTTGACGGTACACGCACACAAAAATAATAAAATAAAAAAAATTTTAAAAAGATAAAAAAAAAAAGAATTTTCCAAACCAAGTTACATTCCCCCCACCATATACCTAGCACAATCAGCTAATCTCCTTCTCTCCCTCAAACAAAAACACAATTAGGTCATTCCGTTTTCTTAGTCAAAGTCTATTCCTCTTCCATATGTGTCAATTTTTCTATTCGATAGCCTCAAGAAAGTGTAAAATATTAATATATATATTTTTTTATTCGAATCGATGGGTGCTACAATTCTACCTTAAAAAAACAAAAACCTCATATCCGTCACTCCTCTCCAGTCCCAAGGCCAAAGAAATTACCTCAGGCTGACATCATCTCTCAGGGGCACCACAGTCCCCTCTGGTTCATTCCCAGAGTGAACTAACACTCAAACCTGTGCACGTTTCATTTTCCTACTCAAGTCTTCTGCAACTCCTGCCTAGCTGATCAAATCCAAGTCTCCAATTCTCTCCTCAATCTGTCTCCTCATTCTACGTAAGTCTCCAATTCTCTCCTCAATCTGTCTCCTCATTCTACGTACCTCAACCACTACTTGTGCTTTCTATTCATGTCGTTCTCCCAGTTCCCTGGTCAATCCATCCAGAGTCCATCTCCTGGTGGATTAAGTTCGAAGTGGGGTTGTGTCTTTTCATCTTTATATGCCCAGTAACCAAACTAAAGAGTTATTATCTAATCAAGTTCAACTCATACCAATCTCAAGTGTCAGGGTAGAACCTTGCTCCACAAGGCTGTCGAGGCTGTGACCTTTCAGACCCAGGTGTCGGGTCTCCCTTCCTAGCACACCAGATAAGATTTCAACTGTCAGTCTTTCAGTTCAAGTTCTTAACCCTCTGCACACCCAAGGACTGCACCTAATGCAGAGTTTACCACACAACAGTGCTCAAAAGATACTTGCTGAAAACTAGCATAAAAGGCTAAGAGTACATTTTTTTCTTACAAATCTTACATAAAAATGATACTCTCTAACATTAAAATACCTTAAACATCAAAATTAAATAGTGTTAAGAGCACATTAATCTTAGTACCTAAACTTTCTTAAGACACACTCAGGTCTGTAAAAATACAGTTCCACTTGCTGGTTCTAGTCTTCAGCCCATACCCTTAGCACCATGCACAGTTATGTTTTCCAATGAATAACCTTATATTCTTAGGCATCTATTATCAGGGTTCAAAAGCTCTGTATTAGCTACAGCAAGTCTAGGTAAGCAAGTAAATTCTGTAGCTATCAAATGAATAGGATTTCCATTTAGTTGGCATTGCTTGCTACATGATCCAAAGCAGGCAGAAGTCAGTGAATTAAGTGATCCCACGGGGTAAAAAAGCAGAATACATATTCATTTTTCTTTGTTAATGTCACCTTTTAAAATACTGTATACACAGCATCAAAGTATATACATCTATTCTCAGTTCATAAATATAGGTGGACAGGTATGACTAACAGGAGTGGAAAGCCAGGAAAGGGCCGAATGCCCTTCCTACCGGCACAAGAACACATGGAAGGACCCCTTCCAACTATATACAATAAATGAGACCTCAAATTGTGACTACTCTGCATTCACCATTCCTGTGACAGGTGAGGCAATCTGTGCCTGTAAGAACAAATTCAAGCCCTGAGGTTCTATTTATCTTCACCAGGGCCTTCAGATGTGTGTTTCATTCCCCAGAGCTGAAACCACCTCAGTAAGATCAGAGAGCCTTACTGACAATTATGATGTGTTCCTGTGGATTTAAGAACCTTTTAAGTGTGAAGTTGTTTCTACTCATTCTCCACCCTCCTTAGGTGGGTGGCAAAAATAACTGAACCCATCAACTGGGTCCACCATAAACAGGAACTAAGAAACTGAAAAAATCCTTCAGCTACATAGTTGTTGATTGCCATCAAGTCAAAATCTGACTCACAGTCACCCTATGAACCTAGCCCTATCCAATGCCATCCTCACCAGCTCATTAGCATCTTGTCATTTAGTCTCCTGTTTTCCCAAAAACAGAATCCCCTTTAACAACTGCTTACCCCAAAACAATCCCAGTGGCACCAGCTGACAGATCTTAACTTGCAAAGAGCAAGAACTCCTAGACAGAGAACAGGTCCATGATAAAGATACTTTATTTAAAAAAAAAAAAAAACGTGTGGTGTATGTGCAAGGGTCATATATACTATTTGAATCAAAGATTAAGCTAAAATTTATCAAATAAGGAGCCAAGTTACGGTAATCTGGGAGACAAAACTACCAATTATTTGTGTGAACCACTAATGTTAAAAATCTTTCTAAAAGTGACACATTATAGTAGAAACTTCAAACAAGGGTTACAGTCCAACACCACCCCGCCCCCCAAACACACTTTCTGAGGGTAGAAGCCTAGCAGGTGACTTGAGAAACCCTCCCTTCAAAAAAGCATGCCCATCCTCTGTCGAGCTAGCTGTCTGCCTTACTTTGTCCAACTAGTCATTTTCTTGCCCTCCTGTTTTCTACTCAACCCGAGATAGTCGTGTGTCCATCTAACCTGGGTTAAGTAGTGAACTGAAAGATAATCAAACTAGAGCGCCACAAACAAGCAAAATACTCTTTCTCCAAAGTCGCGCATTTACGGATCAGCTAGTATCCCATGAACTCCTGAATTCTCAAGCCACCCAGAGGGAGTCGCTTTTAGCAGGCCAGGAAACGTCCTCTGTGGGCCTGGAAAGAAGAGTCGGTCCCACCTCCTGCAACTCTGGAAACACCCGAGGTCCCCTGGGGCCGATTCGAGGCCAGGCAGTTAAAAATGCACGTTTCGCAGAGGGCCGGGTCTTGCAGGGGCACACCCCATCTTCCACCTGGTCCCCGGCGGCCGGGGGCGCCCGGGGGAGCTGGCAGGCGGGACCCGGAGGGTGGCCCAGCGAGCTGGGCCGCGGCCAGCGATGAGCTCAGCGCCCCCGCGGGGTGTTGCCGGCAGGTTGCATCAGACGCCGCGCGGGGCCGCCGCCCGCACTGCCGGCTGCGCGGGGCCTTCCGGACGAGCCAGCCGCTTCGGGCCCGGCTGGGTGTCCTCAGCCCGGCCTGCGCCCACGCAAGCGCCCGGCTCCGCCGCGGCCTCCCCCTCTTCGCCCCGTCAGCCCGCCCAACCTCTTACCTGCGCTTCCAGACAGCCCGCCCGTAGGCGGCCTTTATTCCGAGCGGCCCCGCACGGCCCTACCCGACCCAGGCCTCGCAGCCTGAGAGTCAGCAAGGAGGAGCGACGGTTACGAAACCGGCAACCTCCGCCCGTTCCGCCGCCGCAGTCCAGCTTCCCCTCCCCTCTAGGCGCGCGCTGCCACCGCCCCAACAACCAATAGGAACATCCGCTTACGACTCACGCTCCCTCCTCTGGCGACGGGCAGCCCCTCCAGCCAATCGTAGATGGGCTGACTGAAGAGGGCGGGCACGTGGTGGAGGCGGTGACCTCCGAGCGGCCGGCGTGGTGGGTGAGGCGGGTAGGTGTGGCGGACGTCCTCCACTGGTGCTGGTCCACGCGGGACCGCAGCTTTCCGGAGCTCTGCGCTTCGGTTGTTAAAAGTTGGAGGCACTGAAGAACCAAAGCCTTATAAAAGCAACACTTTTTTGTAGTTGTCTTCTCAACGTTTTAAGTCACTAATTTCTGTTTTGATTTCAACACATTCGCTAGGACTCAGAGCGTCTTTGACAAACACTCGCCTCCCAGGACGAACGGTGCCCGATACTTAATCGCCCAAGCGCGGGAAGGGGCTCCTCTCTCAAAAGGACTGGCCTCTATTTGATTTTCACTGGGATTTTCACAGCAATGCAGTGTGCAATTGCAAACTTAAAAAAAAAAATAAATAAAAAAATGAGTGAAGCAAAAAAATCCCAGCATAGGATTTTTATTGATGTCATATTTGGGAAAATTGCAGGTGGTGGTTCGTTTTTACGGTGAAATGAAGTGAGTTTCCAAATCAATTCCCTTGTGGTTTCGAGATGAACAGCTTAAGATACATGGATTTCTGAAAATGAGCAGCAATCTAGTTCAAGGGAGGATCTGAAAGCAGTGCTCTGGGTGGAGGACAGTTTTTAACTGATTGGTTTGATTGCTTCCTCTTTAGCAATTCTTATTGTTCAAAAATATTAAGCTTCTGAAAGAGGAAACGTTTCTTCATCACTCGAGCGACGAAACCTGTGAGACTGTTTCGAGGAATCATTATCTAAAAACATTGGGGGGGGGAGTGGACAAGAATAAATGGAGATACACAGTCTCATCGAAACCACTCATGTTTGCCTTCATAGTTCTGACCTGAAAATTAAATTCTGTTGTGATGCTCGTAACCTTGTATGGAGCTCTGGTGCTTAGTGGTAAGAAGTTGGGCTGCCAGCCCGACGGGCACATGATTAGAGTCACCACGGGAGAAAAATAGGTAATCTCCTGTGTGATTTACAGCTTCTGAAAACCCCTTGGAGAGTCAGCTGTGAGTTTTCTGATTTGACAGCACATAACAACAACATAAAATTATAATTTTGCCTTTACTATTTATCCGCTGGTGTGCTAACCATTCTGTCAAGCTTCTCCAACATTCGCTGGGCCTTGTCTGGGCAAGCCTTTGTCCACACCCAACAGGTCTAGCCAGTGTCCTCTGTAGCTGGTTTGTCCTCCTTCCTTAAGATTAATTTATGATAATTGTTCAGTGATAACTCTGCTCAACAACAAATGATAGAAACACTGTCCCTGAACAGTTTGCCACATGGAACTTGCACTTACAACCAGGCTTAAAACCACCACCAGGCCATCTAGTGAGCTCTTTGTTCAGAAATAGTTTTTTAAACTACCATTTTCATTGACAATCCAAGAAAGAGGCCCAAGATGCTCTGAAAGATTATAACAGTGTACTAGTTCTAGTCTGCAAGGATTTTTTCCTTTTTTAAAAAAGTTTTATATTGGTTTGCTTACAAAGTCTGTGTACATTGTGTATCACACTACCTGGATTCACATCATGTTTCATACAATCATTCCATTTATTATGTTTTATGAAATTACTCACCATTGAACTTTACCTACCATTACTCTGTCTTTTTAGGTCCCCACTGGGTCTCTCCTATTTCCTATACCCTCTCTCTCTCTCCCCACCAAATTGTGAAACCCTATGATTTCACCCCTACCCATCCTGACCCCTCTGCTCCCACCGCTTCCTTCCCCTGGATCCCCATGCATGTTATACTAGTTATCCTTTTATTTATACAATAATGGGTTTATGAGGATTTTTGCTAGGCAGACAGATGAGAAGAATATTTCAGTTAGAGGGAAGGGCAGGATTTTCCTCCTTTGTCATTGTGGACCAAGGGAGTTTGGATGCCTTAGTCCTAAAAGAGTTGGGCTGCTCATGCAATATTATTCAAAATGGTTGACTCAGGAGAACATTATGCTGAGTGAAATATCCCAGTCACAAAAGGACAAATATTGCATGGTGCCACTGTTGTAGAATGGGACTGACCTTGGGGTTGGGGAGAGACTGAGTAAGATGGGTTTAATAACGTATACTGCACTGAAACAGAGGAGAGAGAAAACTGTTTAAAAGAGATATGTGACTAGGTATTTAAACTTAAAAAATAAGAGTTGGGCTGCTAATCCTTCTGCTGGTTGGAATCCAACAGCTGCTTCACTGGATAAAGATGAAAAGTCTTCTCCCCTGTAATTTACAACCTCCAGAAAACTACTAGAGGATAAGCTATGAGTCAGTTCTGACTCAACAGCATTGAGTTTTCACTGCAGTTCAGTTGGAGTTGACCCTCCCTTGGAGGACTGTGTATACTATATATGTCATTTTACAGCATTTTACAATATTGCTGCAACATGCTGTTCTCAAGATTCATCCTTGTGATATGATCAGAACCTCATTTCTCTTCAATCTGAGTAATAATCTATGAATATATCATAGGTGGTTTTGTTTTTTGTTTTTCAATACATCTTCATCTATTGATGGATTTTTAATTCCTTTATACTTTTTGTTTTTGTTGTTGTTGTGTACCATCAAGGTGGAACCTCCAGTGGGTTTTCAGAGGCAGTAAATCTCATAGAAAAAGATTTCTCAGCCTTCTCCCATGAAGTAGCTGGTGGATTTGAACTAGAAGTCTTTGGGTTGGCAGTGAAGCTCCTTAACACTAGGCTAGGCTATACTTTGTGGTTTGGAGTATTAAGAAAAGTGCTACAGTGAACATTGGTGTACAAGTTTCTGTCAGTGTTCCTGCCTACATGCCTGCTGGGTGTATACCTAGGATTAAGATTGTTGGGTCATGTGGTAGTTCTATATTCAGCTTTTTGAGGAACTGCCAAACTGCTTTGCACAGCAATGATAACTCTGATATTCTCACCAGCAATGAATGAAGTTCCTAATTTTCCATAGCCTCTCTAACATATTTCTCATTGGCTTGAGTAACAGTTGACCTTCCGCTGGGTTTCCAAGACTATAAATCACACAGAAGATTGCTCTTCTTTCTTTTGTGAAGTTGCCTTTGGATTTGAATGAGCAGAGAGGCACAGCTTTTAGATTAACAGTACAACTCCCAAGGACTATGCAAGCAGAGCACTTGTGCAAAGGTCCTATAATAGGAGAAGTGGAGAGCAGTGTGTGTGTGCACGCATGCACATGCCAGAATGTACATATATGTGCATGTGAGTGATTTTATTAACTCCTTTTCATTTTTTTCATGTGTGGTGGAAAAAATATATACAGCAAAAGATACCATCTCAATTTCTACATATAAATTCAGTGTTGTTGATTAGATTCAGGTTGTACAACCATCCAACCATTCTCGTTATTATTTTTCTTTCTTTTTTTTTTAATTTTTTTAAAA